TCAAATTGCTAGTTTAAGTTAACTACAAACTATTGAGCAAAAATACATACAAGAAGAATACAAAAAAAAATTTTTATTACACTTGATTAAATAATGAATACTTTTCTATTCAATTAAGAACTTAATTTCCTTAAATTTTTAATAATCTAAAATACGTAAATATTAACATACTGTTCATATTACATACAATAAGCATTTTATAAAATTATAAATGTAATGCTATAATTAAAAATATCCCTTTATAGTATATTCATTATTTTTCTTAGTTTTTCTATGAAATTAATAACATTTTCCTATTATGTGAAAAATGCAATTCTAAAAAAAAAATTACTATTTTTTTTATTTTATTTTTTTTTTTTTTCTATCAAAATTTTTACTTCTATAAAAAAAAATGATTTATCTTTTTTTATTTTATTTTTACAATAAAAAAATAATTTAATGGTATATTAATTTTTTACTAAAAGGATTTCGTAGAGTAATAAGCAAGTAATTTAAAAAAAAAAAGCTTGTAATAATATAGATTGTTATAAATTTTTGTTTATTATAAAAATACTTAAGAAATAATTACGTAATATAAATATAATTACACAACACGAAATGAGTAATTTATTTCATGTAACATTTATAATCCTTTAAGTAAAAATATATCTGTTTAACATTTTTGTTATTCTTAATATATATTTTTGAAGGAGTATTTATATAATTTAATAAAGTTCTATATGCATTTTTACTAAAATTTAAGTCCTTATAAAATTTTTTTGAATATATAAAAATTCATCCTTTCTATGTGGAATTTATAATTCTCCATAAATTAATTTCTTATCTCAAATATATGTAACTGTTCATCAAAAAAAATAAAAACCCACTCAAAAAAAAAAAAAATTTTTTTTTTTTTTTGTTATTACACGTATATATATATGATTATATGTTTATTTATACTGTTAAGAGATTTTTATTAAATACTTTGAATGTACAACTAATCATTCACTTTATCTTACAATATTCATTAAAATATTTAAATGTTAAAAGTGTTTTTTTAATTAGTTTTTTACTAGAATCTTTTAAAAGGTTAATTAACAAATCATTACATTAAAATTTTTATTTCAATATTTTAAAAATTGTTGTAAATAAATATAAGCTTATATTTATAGGTTAAATTACATTTTACAATCCAAAAACTTTAAATAATTTTTTAACCTTATATTTAATTTTTTCTCTTTTATATACTTTTTTTTTTTATTTTATTTCTCATATACTATATATTTTTTTTTAATCTACTTTCTTACTTTTCATTTATGACTTACTATAATGTATAAAACTTTCCTTTTTATATGTTAGTCTATGCTTTTTTGAACATATATGAAAAATTAAAGTTATATATTTTATAAAAAATAAATTGCAAAATTAAAAAAATGAAAACTTTTTTTTTATCTAAAATTATGTTTTCTTTTATTTATAATATGATATTTTTAGTTGTATACCCTTTTAAGAAAATAAATGAATAATTTGTTCGAAAAATAATATAGCAACATGTGAAACAAAAAATTTTTTTTTATAAAAATTATATTAAAGAAAATGTATGTAATAATATGAAAAAAAAAGATTTCCAAAAATATAAATGTAGACATCAATTGATATAAACTTATTTAAAAGAAATTATCCCAAATTTTATTTCCAACTTATTTTAAATTGTATAAAAAGAAGGAAATAATATTTACATATATTTTTTTTTTTAATTTTTTCCTTTATAAAATAAAAAATAATAATTAAAATTTTTTAAATTAATCATAAATTCAAATACTTGAAATATAGAAAAACTAACATTTTTTCCTTTTTTATTCATAAAACGTTCCTTTCTGTATTTTACATTTTATCTAAATATGTACTTCTTCACTCACGTAATTCACACATTTAATGAAATTTATAGATTTAATGCTCAAATTTTTAATATATCAACTTATTTTATTATTTTTTTTTTTTTTTATCTCTAACATTTGTATGAAAAATTAATAAAAACTCGAAATAAAAATGTCTATACATAAAAATTATGTTAAAAACATAAATAGTCAATTTTTTATAATTTCCCAGATAAGCAATCACTTTAAAAAATATGAAAATTAAAAAAAAAAAAAAAATAAATGATGATTTGTGTTAAGTTTTAAAAAAAAAAAAAAAGTATATTTTGGAGGATTTAAATCAAAAATAATTACTGATCATGTAACAATATTTTTATTTTAATACACAATTTTTTCACAAACACTTATCTAAATACATGTTTAACAATGCTACTTCTTGTTTTAATTTAATGTCATTAGGTTTATAAACTTTTAATTCGTTATTGTTATTTATAAGAGGAAAAGATAGAAATGTATCAATTAAAATAAGCATTTCTAGTGATATTCAATTTACACAATGATAAGAATTTAGGAATTTTTCATAGTTTTCCTAATATACCTCTTTTTACATTTACTATACAACTAAAATAAAAAAATGTAGGATTTTCCTAGTCTTACAAAAATAATCTGTTATGTTTTTATTACTATTTTATATAATCATTGATTACACAATTGTTGTAATTAAAAGTATTCAGATTACTTTTATAATTTACTTTATAATATACTCTTAATTGTTTTTAATATGGCTTTCTTATTTTAATCAAAAATAATTACATTAATTTATGTTATCACTTTCACTTGTTAATAAAAAGTGTTACCAACATTTTATGAAATAATAGAGAATTACAACGAAAATAATAAGTTAACTATACATGATCTCTACATGTGAAAATAGCTATCTAAAAAAAAAAAAAAATATAAAGATAAATATAAGTATAAAAAAAATAAACAAATATTTTATTATATTTTGTAAATTGTTCTTCCTGTTGTACTTTTAGATTTTAATTTTAAAATGATCGAATATTTTCTTCTTGTTAATGGTTCTAGAACAACAAAAAATTAAATTTTAAGTAAAAAGAAAAATATAGATAATTATACTTTCATTAATAATTTTTATATAATTTTTTAAAAAATGTGCTAATAGCTTTAACATAAATTATTTTATTTAAAAATATTACATATAATCAATGGTTTTTATAATAACGATTTATGTTTTTAAAAAAATAAAAATTTAATTTTAATTGAATTAAAGAAATGACTCTAAAAAAAGAAATATTCAGTTATATAATGTATAAATATAAAATTAACTTATAATTGAAATATAATTTTACATTGATTGAAATTATTATGGAATATTTTACATGTTCTCTATTAATGTACTCGTTTAATGTTTCACTAAAGTTAATGAAAAATCTATTAATATGTCAACTGGTTATTACTTATTTTGGAAAACATCGTATTCATAATATATGTAGTTTAAATATTAATTCTTTTCTTTTTATAATATAACAATACTATATATCTTATTATATTTTTACATCCTCATTAATATAAAATAAAAATTACATATTTATCGAGGAAAAATTATTTTTAATTATTTTAATAAAAAATTAACACTATTATATGTTCTTAAAAACATATAAATTATAACACCCTAGAGAATAACCTCTTTATTGTATTTATTATAAATTATATAATTTCCTTACATGTGAGCAGTAATGGTAAAATATAAATATTTATACATTGTGATATCAATAATATTCAAGTTTTAAAAAAAACAAAATTACATAAAATTTATTGCGGTATGTTTTTTTTTCCCATTTGATATATTAATTATTTAATGAAATTATTAAATAATCTTTTATACATTCACATAAAAGTATTCGGCTGAATCAATTTTTTTGAAATTTTTTTTATATCCCATTTCATTAAAAAAAATATTTTTTTTTAATCTTTACAAAAAAATAAAAAAACAAAGTAAACAAAAAAATATTTTATTTTTTAAAAATATTTCTTTTCATTTTTCATTTTAACATTAAATAAAAAAAAATATATATATTATTTTTACTTAAATTCTTATACAGCTATTAAATATATAAGAAGCTTTTCTATTTTAATTTTTTCCAAAGTAGCCATTCTCTTTTTACAGTGAATAGTTATACTCTTTTAAAATTTTTCTTCTGCACTGCATGCGCCCATGTCTTCCCGTTTTGAATTTTATAAATTTCTTTTGAAATTTTTCTGAAGCAATTATAATGATAGCTGTTAAAATATTTTTATTTGCTAAAAATAATTCCATATTAAGTTGAGAGATTAGAATAAAATAGTTACAATAAAAAGAAAACAAATGTACAGAAATTATATAATAGAAAATTATTAAAATAGAGTAAAATTAAAAATTAAAGTTTTTTACGAAAAAAAAAAGTACAATTATTTAAAAATTACGTTCATTTGATATCCTACTGAGTTTTTTTATATTTGGTTAAAACTTGAACTTTTTTATATACCTCTCAAATTGAGAATTTTTTATATATCATTTCATATGTTTTGTAAAATAGAAATAAATTAATTATATAATTTAAAATTGAATAAATATATATTTATTTATAAATTTAATACAATTGCAATTTAACAATTTTTGAAATAATAAAAATATAAAACAAAATCGCCATTTTGATACAAATGATTTTTGTAATATCCTTTATAGGTATACTTAAGAATTAAAAAAAATCAAATAAAAAAATAATAAAAAAAACTTATAATTACAATATTTAACACTTGGTATTTAACCATGAACGTACTTTTATAGTGATTAATGGAAATTTAATTATAAAATTTTAAATATTTTTATAACGAATTCAAAATTAACGGAATTAATATGAAATTTCGATAAATTATTCCTTTCTTTTCTATTATTTTGCATTCTCACTTATAATTGTACAACTTAATTATTATTTCATTTTCCTATTAATTATCTTCATTTAATTAAAAATAATTATCTCATTTTAATGTAACTAAAATATTGCAATTTTTATTAAAAATTAAAATTAAACCAAAAGTAGCTTCATAAAAGAAATATTTTTAATATTTAAAAATATTAAAAATATGGAGCCTCAAAGCATACAATCTTCGACTAGTACGAGAAATATATCCAAAGAAAAAGAAGATAAACATTCTACTAAAATACAAAATCACTCAGATAATGAAAATAAAAAACCTACAAATGAACCTTATGTAAATACGCAACTACCACAACCAACATCTCAATCTCTACAGAATTTCCAAAATACGTCAACTCCGCAAGAACCAGAATCTCCAAAACAACAATTATTGCCGCAACCTAATCAAATACCTCAAAATGTACCAACACTACAAAAGACCCCCATATCAAAAGAAACACTAAAACAGAAACAAGATCAAAAACCACAACTAATAAAACCATTACAAATACCTCAACCAACACAAACTCAACCAATACCGCAACTAACACAAAATCAACAAATACTTCAAGAATTGCAAAAATTTCAACCTTTATTAAAGTCTACAAAAAGTAAAAAAATACCTCAATCAACACAAACTCAACAAATGCCTCAACCAACACAAACTCCACAAATACCGCAACCAGCACAAACTCAACAAATACCGCAACCAACACAAACTCCACAAATACCGCAGCCAACACAAACTCAACAAATAACTCAACCATCACAAATTCAACAAATACCTCAACCAACACAAACTCAACAAACACCTCAACCAACACAAACTCCACAAATACCTCAACCAACACAAACTCAACAAATACCACAACCAACACAAACTCAACAAATACCTCAACCAACACAAACTCAACAAATACCTCAACCAACACAAACTCAACAAATACCTCAACCAACACAAACTCCACAAATATTTCAACCAATACAAACACAAGCAAATCAACAAGTATCACAAAAAGATGAAATGCATCAAGGTGATCAAAAGAGACGAACGTCATTAATACATCAACCAAGTCCAGCACAACAAATTCCACATAATTTTGGAAATACACGTAAATTTAATCTTAATAATTCAAATGGGAAAATAAATGAATCTCCTTTTACAGAAATATTGCATAGCCCTGGTGAGTCAAGAATACCTACTTCTATGAATCCATATAAAACGGGAGGTACTATCTATACAAATACAAATCCATTTTATACAAACGCACCGTCAGATCCATTTACTACTTTATCCCCAATGTCTACATTTTCATCCGCTGTATATATGCAACATCAACCAATTTATATTGGAAACACAAATGAAACTGTTACATCTTCTGGAATGATTAGGCATAATCCTAATTTAAATGATCCATTTTCAATGTTTCAGTTAGCATTAGTGCTTCAATCTATTTTTAGACGTTATGTAAGTTAAAATCAATACTTAATAACTTTTCTATTTTTAAAAATTTTTTTCAATTAAAATTTTTATAATGTAAAATAAACATTCTCTTCAAAAATTTAACTTTTTTTTACAGTTTAATGCCCCTTTTATAAGAGAAAATAGTAAACCTCAATCAGAAGGAAAAAATTTAAGGATTCAAGTATCGGAATCACCAGAATTAGAAACTCCAAGTAGAAAAGTATTTGATCCATCAAAAGTAAAAGTTTTAAGTATAAATACATCTGTGCCTTCAAAAGCAAATATCCCAAATAATCTATCATATGAATCATCAGATGGAGAAGTTTCATCTTATAAAGAATCTGAACCATCAGATATAGAAATTGAATTATCAGATGGAGAAACCTTATGGAGTACAGGATCTGAATCACCAGAAAAAGAAGTTATAAGGCGTCAAAATTCTGAATCACCAGAAACTGAAATTGTAGCACGTCAAGAAAATGAGTCACCAAAAACTGAAATTGTAGGACGTCAAGAAAATGAATCACCAAAAACTGAAATTGTAGGACGTCAAGAAAATGAATCACCAAAAACTGAAGCTTCATCACAGCAAGAACATAAATTATAAGAAAGAGAAGTTTTAAGTAATCAAGAATCCTCGTTACAAGAAATGTCAAAATTAAGAAATCCAGAATTGGAATCACTATATAAATCATCCTGTAAATATTAAAAAGTCCAATCATTTAATGAGGCAATCTTAGGATATCAACATGACGAATTGTATGAGAAAGTAACATTAAAACGTCATGATGATGAATCCTCTGAAAGAACAAGCTTATAGTGTCTAGATTCCAAATAATTCAAAATTTAAAATTTTAGGCGTTAAAAAACTTGCTGACAAAAAAGAAAAATCTTAAGATTCTAAGGATTACGTTTACAAAAGTAAAACGAGTTATCTCAAAAGCTTCATTTTATATAAATGTGTAGTATATAATTCTAAGAATATCATTCATTATAGAAATGCAAAGTAGTGTATTAAGTATCATAGTTATCAGAAAAAGAAACAACATATCTGGTTGAAGGAAATTGTACCAAGAAAGAAGAGGAAAAAGAAAGAAAAAAACGTAATAAAACAAAATATCATCATCATTAAAAATATTCTTAGAGAAGTAATTTGAAAACATAAAAAATATTACATTTTTTTTTAATATTCTACAATATTGGGGTTTTTTTTTTTTTTGGTATTTTTTTAAATTAGTATTTTATAATTGAGAAAGATATTTTTAGATTAATTTTTAATTATTACATCCCACTAAAAAATTATATTTAAATTTACCTTGTTATCAATTAAGAAAAACAGTATTTTATTTATTGTATATAATAATATAATTTTTATTATAATAGTTATAATGATATATCATGATATTTATTATTATCATTATTAAGATATTTATTATCAATGTTGCCATTTATAAATTTCTAACATACATTATGACCAGGTATATCCATATAAAATCAAAATCATTACATCTTATAAGAAAAAAAAAAAAAAATTCCATGTGTGATACTGTGTATTTTACGACGCAATTTTTCATACAAAAGTAGAAATTCAAATTTTTATTTTTATTTGAATTATTAAATAAGTTACTATATTAATAAAAATTTTTTTTTTTTTTATTCTCTCAAAAGGTGAAGAGTTATATATTGCATTGTTATAAATATTATTATTTAAACCTGTTATCAACCCAACCTATGCAAATAATGTAAATTTAAGGGAGCCTTGTATAACTTTTATATTACATTTTTGTAATAATAAAAATATAAACTTAAATTATCGTTTTATTCTTTGTAATAATTTCGTGTATTAATAAGTTATTTTTTCTTTTTCTCTTTTTTTTTTCATATATTACATTTTTTAGTATATTTTTATTTTTTCTTTTAAATATTATAAGATTTTTTTCTCATCTGTTTAACCCAATATTATTTATGTACTTTCCTTTTTTTCGATATCTTAAATATCTGAATATATCTTTTTTTTTCAATATATTGAGATATACTTTTAAAAACTTAGGATTTAAAATTAAAATAAAATATTTCTTAATGTTTTACAGGATACGAAAAATTATATTTTCTTAAAGTTCCGTGACTTGAATTTACATTTATTAATTTTAATTTTTTTTATAGATCATATTATATATTAGGTTGATACTAAAAAAAAATATACATTTACACATACATATAAAAGTATTAATTTGTTTTTATATAAATACTAATGAAAATTATTTCTTTTCAAACTATATAATAAATTATTTCTAATATATTATATTTCTTATATTGAAAGGGTATACTTGTATAAATGATATAAAAAATTCTAACAAAAGTTTTAATATTTTTTTTATTTAAATTGTAATTAATAATAAATGTTCATCAGTAAAATTTTTGTCAACTAAGATAATAACATGAGTTTATTTTGTTAAAAAGTTTGTATTTATACTCAAATATATTAGCAACATAAGTGTATATATATATTTATTAAAACATTTTTTATCTTATATATTTTTGGCTATTTTAGAATTTATTAAAAACTCAATAATTTCTATATATATATATATATATATATATATATATATATATATATATATATATATTATATATAATTAAAATTAAAAAAAAAATAAATATATAATTTAACTGCCTTATTTTTTATTCTACTTTTGCTACCTTGATTATGTTTTATAGATTTAAAATCAAAATTTTTTTTATATAATATTTAAATATAGATGTATGTCCGTACTAATTAAAAATTTAATATATGATGATAAAAAAAAAAAAATAAAATAGCTATAAGAAATATATCTCATTAGAAAATATTAATGTTAATATATTCATAAAAAAAAAAAAAGTTGTTAATAATAAATCCTTTTTACATTAAAGTAAATAACACAAATTTAATCTCCAAAAATAACAAAGATTCTATGATATATTTAAAAGAATTCTATTTATAGTAGTGAGAAATAAATATTAGTTATTATAAAGTCTCTTCTATTCATTGATGGAAATTTTTAATAATGTTCTGTCTTCTTCGTTATATATAAAGGCACAAATTAAATTAAATTACTTTATAAGAATTTTCAACAATGTACGGATAGTAGATAATGTTCAAAATAAAAAATGTTACTTGTTAGTAATTTTTTTATGGTTTCATATTTTTCCATAAAATTTACATTACTAAAATTTTATAATAAAAAGATAAAATATAATTATTTTTTTATTTTTTCTTTTAAAAATACCAATAATTTAATCTTATATATTATATTTTATATTAAAAAACTAAATAAGTAGCAAGTTTTCATAATTATTTTAATTTCTTTAACCTCATTTTTTTTTTTTTTTTTTTGGTTTCACACCCATTGATAAATATTGTCAAATCCTTATTCATATTTGAGATTTTTACAAAAAATATATATTTTTTTACTTGAAATTATTGTTTTCATTGACTAAAACATTTTTATAGAATAGATGAATTTGTACTGAATTCTTAGTAATATCAAAAGAATTTTATAGAGATAATTAATTTTCTATTTATTTTTATTCTTATGACAAGTTATTAAAGTATCTGTGATTCTTTATTTTTAGATTAATATTTAAATTAAAAATTGCATTATGATAGTTATAATATTATAAAACATATGTATCATTTAATAGGAACTAAAAATATACTATTATAAAGTTTATAGCATAATTTTTTTTTTAAAAATAATTGATATTTTTTTTCTTCATTTTTTCTTCGGAAAAAAAATGTAAGATGTATTTCAACATAAAACAACTGCTTTAACGATAAAATTTGTTTAATTTTAAATTTTGAGTTATCTGTACCTTATTAAAAGATGTGATAATTGGGAAGATTATTTTTTTGGTTTCTTTTTATAAGTTACTTTTGAACTATTTTTCAACGTGTTTAATTAAGTTATCTATAAATCAAAAAATGTTAATTTTTTTTAATATCACATGTTTGTCAGTAGGAAGAATGCAATAAAAACACATTTACAACAAATTATTAAGATTGAAGGTTAGTTTTTTTGTAGGTCTCTAGTGATTTTTCATGTAAATTGAACAATATTATGAATATAATTATATATTGAATTATCAGATTTTTTCTGTATAAAAGGAATACATTAAGCAAAAAACTTTTCAATATTTTCCAAAATTCGAACATAATTTCAAGAATGTGCAGACTCAATATATTATTTCATAACATATTAAAACTATTGATTAAAAAACCAATATGATTTTTATCATTTCTACACTATCTGTTATTACATTTTCCTTTATTCATAATTTTTTTCTGATTTTCTTAAATTCTTTATATGCTATATCTAAGTTATATTGCATGCATAACTTTTAATGACTAACATATAGAACATGGATAAAAATTAAAAACAATTATATATATATAAATATATATAAAATATTTCATTCAAATGAAATTTTTTTCATATAAAATTATACAGAAAGATGTATTTTTTGAAGCATGCCGCATAAATATATGGAATATTTATAAAGGATAAAAAATAAAATAAAATAAAATGATAAACATAACATTCTTCTGAAACATTTAAAATATTTTTTCATTAAAGTTCATTAATATTATTGATATAGAAATTTAATTCCACTTATATCTATTGTAATGACTATATTTTTTATATTTTAAATCACTAAAACAAAAAAAATCAAAAAATACTGTAAGTTTTTTGTTATTACCAATATAATTATTTAAAAAATGTTACATTTTTATGACTATACATATTAATTTTAAAATATTCTTACAAATTCTTATTTTTATAATATTATATTTAATTTTTTCATTAAATATTTTAATTTCCATAAAAAAATATAGAATCGTAAAATCTATAATGATAGTAAATCAATTTAAAATTTTTAATTTATAATATATAAAAATATTTATATGACAAATTATATTTAAATTTTATCAATGTAATAGATAAAATAAAAAAAAAAAAAAAATTTAAATATTAAATTATCTTTTCATTTTTATTATTATTGTGGATCCAACATTAGTTAAATGTAATTTTTTTTATTGTCCTATAAGAACTATGAATCCTACTTGTTTTAAATGAAATGAAACAGGTAAACAGGGAAATTTAATTCTGTTTAAAAAAATATAAAGTGCATTAGTAGTTAAAAAAGAATATTATTAATTTTTATAAATACATGAATTGGTAATGTAATGTAAATAGAAAAAATTTCTTGTTCATGTAAGTTATATAAGAAAATACTTTAATAATCTAGCTAAATATTGAATAACATTAATATATATATATATAATAAAAAAAGAAAACTTAAGTTGCATTTTATTTCTTTTTGTAATATTTATTTTTTTAAAAATAAAATTTAAAATTTTTTGTTAATTGATGATATTTGGTTAAACATAATTAACACTTATGAAAAGGAATTTTAACTAAGAATAATGATAATATATTTTTATATATTATTTTATTTTTATTAAAAGTATATATAAATATTTATTAAATTATATTAATATCTCACAAATTATTCAATATATTAGGACAACAAATATTTTAAGATGAAATATTTTTACTTTAGTAT